TTAATGAACTCATACTTCTATATAATAAGGAATTGTATATTTAATCTTAATGAACTCATACTTCTATATAATAAGAAATTGTATATTTAATCTCATCTTTCTCTTCTGCGTAGGGCCACTTTCTCAGATATGTGATGACATGAATCCCACAATTGTCACTGGAGAATTGACAAACTCACACTATTAGGTTGTATTAAAAATGAGAAATGCAACACATAAACGTTATTCAAAACTCACGTGTTCTGTTGGAGATGAACAGTGGGGTAGAAGATCTCATTGTTCTCATCTGGATTGGTCAATGACTCCAGATTAGGCTTAACTCTCTTTAGTATGTCAACAAAGTTTGCCCTCTAGACAACAAAAAAAACAACTATCAAATACAAATTTCACTCAACAGTGACAAAATTAGTACATTAACAATTATTAAACTAATACAAATTTGAGCCATCATGCGCTGCCCTTTGTCTTTACGATTAGTTTTTCCCTTCTTTTGCTTTTTCTTGTTGTTCGTAACCTCGTCACTACCATGAAGGGAGTCCAAGACATGAAACCTCAGTGTGCTTGGTTCAAGCACAAAGCAGAATCGGTCATAGCAAATATGACTGGTCCAAACAGGTAGTCACAGTCTTCTAAATTATAGCCTAGATGTTCTGGCAATAGTTCTTTCAGGTGTTTCTCCACCTCTCAAGATCTTTGTTGCTGCATCATTCTTGTCTATGATAGCAAACATTTGACACCATGATGTTATTAAAATCCTAACTTCCATGGAAAATACCCTAATTCTTATTGTGGGATTTCTGAAATGTTGTTGTCGCAGGACAATACAATTCTATGCATTCTCACAGGCACATGCAGACCATAAAGTTGTTAATATCCTAACCTTTAGTGTAAATATTATAGCTTTGTGTGCAAAATTTTTGAATTTTTGTTGTCACAGGACAGTGCAAGTCTATGCATAGTCAAACACAAGTTGTTAAAATCCTAACTTTCAGTGTAAATATTGTAGCTCTGTGTATAAATTTCTGAATTTTTGTTGTCACAGGATAGTGCAAGTCTATGCATAGCCAGACATATGCAGACTATGAAGTTGATAATATCCTAACTTTCAGTGTAAATATTGTAGCTCTGTGTGCAAATATCTAAATTTTTATTGTCACAGGACAGTGCAAGTCTATATATAGTCAGACACATGTAGACCATGAAGTTGTTAAAATCCTAACTTTCAATGTAAATATTGTAGCTCTATGTGCAAATTTCTAAATTTTTGTTGTCACAGGACAATGCAAGTCTATGCATAGTCAGACATGTAGACCATAAAGTTGTTAAAATCCTAACTTTCAGTGTAAATATTGTAGATTTGTGTGCGAATTTCTGAACTTTTGTTGTCACAGGACAGTGCAAGTCTATGCATTATCAGACACACGTAGACCATGAAGTTGTTAATATCTAAAATTAAGTGTAAATATCCTAGTTCTGTATGTAAATTTTTGAATTGTTGTTGTCACAAGACAACATTATTGAATGCATTCTCAGAGATAAACTAGTTAGCACTAACTATGAAATCAGCATCAAATATGTGCCTCTTCACCACAGAAGCTTGTTCCTTATGTTCACCATTCATAACATGGGCAATTAATGACATTATCTGCATATTTATGCAACATGAAAATTAAGATTGATTCACAATATATGCCTATACAAATTCAATTCAGCATCGCACATACCCAGTTGCTTATCCATTGCCCTGGACCAAGGACTTGCAAGTCTTGCCGTGTTGCATAATGGCCAAACATGTCCACCAAAATCCTACACTACAGACATGGAAGCAAAATTAGTGCAGTGATATTATTCCCATCGCAAAAACAACTCCAACCACTCCTTCTACTTACTGTCCAGCCTCCTCTTGTGAACACCAATACAACAAAGTTTATAAAATGCTTCCTTCTCATTGACTTTGACTTTTCTCACGTACGTGGATTAGTATGGTGACTTTACAGTCAGTTTATGACATATTTTGACCTCCTTGTGGGTAGTTGCATCGCTTTTTGTTTTCTCTCCCCTTTATCAACTTCTTTTTCTTTTTCAAATTCACCATCTTTCTTTTTTCCTTCATTTTCATCTTCATCTTCTTCTGACTGTCTTTCTTCATCTTTTTCTTTATCATCATCTTGTTATTCCCCTTTTTATTCATCCTCCTCTTCTTCTTTATCTTTTTCTTCCTCCTCATCTTTTTCACTAATTTTTTCCTCATCTTCAGCTTCATCAGGTTTTTTACCTTTTTTCTTCATTTGCATCTTCTTCTTTTTGTTCTTTTCCTTTATCTTCATTCTCTCCTTGTCCTACCTCTGTAGCATCTTTTCTTATCTTTTTCTTCGAGGGTGCATCTATTCATTCTTAATCTCCTCCTTCTTCTTTTTCTTCATCTTAATTTTCACCTTCTTCTACCTTTTTAGCATCCATTCCTTCATCTCTCCCACTAATAGGCATTTTGCTTTGTAACTGTATCAGTTCTTTCAAAACAAAACTTTTAAGCTTTTTCATCTCACTATTTAATTTATTGTTGAATTTCAACCAAAATTCCTGAATGTCCTGCATATTTAAAAGTTTGTTAGCAAACTTGCATTCACTATCAGCAAATCAGACTAATATATTAGTACTGCTTACTAGGTCTTCGAAACTTGTCTCCCCCAGTTGTGTTACTGACTTGACTTTTGCAGTACTGTGATTGTGCAACAGGCCATGTTTACTTCCTTCTTCTACTTTAATCCCCTCCTTCACAGCGTTATCATCCCAAAACTTTCTTGCCTCGGGTGATTTTGGTACAGCATTCCACAATGGGAACCTTTGCAAGAAGTAAAGCTGAAAAAGAAAAACACAAGAAGTTATTAATCAAAGAAGGCAACATCGGAACAACTTAATTAATGAGATCTTCCATTTAATTATGCAAACAAGTACCAGTAACAAATACATGCAGCCTCCAATGACTTTTGAGGCTTCAGCTTTCCTTTCTTTGCTACCCATATTGTATTGTTGTATTTTTTCACTGAGTTCATCAAGCACAAATATTATCCAATCAAATTCTGCCCACTTATTCTCTATGCAGGCCATTACTTTCAACACTTTCTCACTGACACTTGCACTCCTGGTGGGACAAAGAAAAGTTTCCAATGTAAAGAGAACAAAATAGAACTCAAACATTCCATTATCTTCCTCACTCATTAGCTTTTCTTGAACTTCAGTATATGTCAATGGGATATATTTCCTTTTCAGCTCCTTCAGTTCATCTTTGAAGCCATCTAACTTCACTCTTAAACCTTTATCCTATAACTCCATTAGCATTTTCACATCTTTTGGTGTTATTGTCAATGTGTTCCCCCTGATGGTTAATTGTTTTGTGGGGGATTCAAATGCACGCATGACCTCCACACATAATTCTCTTAGAATCCTGTTCAAGGTCATATTTAACAGCTTCCTACATCCCAAATTTTGTATCTTGTTCTTCAAATTTGTTTTCCTCCTAACAAATTCAGCAACTTCCTTGAATTTAGATGGGGAGCACCGGGTCAAAAATGGTGTCACATATTTCTTCTTCTTTCCTTCTGATACCTCTTCCTCCTTTATTCTATACAGCTCCTTCTCAACATTAGTCATGTTCTTCTAAACTTCTGATGCTGTATCTAACACATCTTTCATCCCTTGTATGTCCTCTTTATTTTTCATCCAAAATTTAGTCTTAAAAACCTTCCACCTTGTAACTTCTCAATCCTTGTTACTATCTTTTCTAACCCTGCACACAATAATTATTGTTTCATTAATCAGTATGATACACAGTTCATCAACATCCATTGCATGCAGCTTCATTTATTAAATGACCTCCACACTTCTAAATACACTAACTATTATTGAAAATTTCTTTACTTCACTTGTTACAAAATGACACATGGCATTGTTCCAGTCAGGTTGCAAATGCATTTATTTGTCATGTAAATTACCTAGAATAAATTGTCAGTACACTGAAGATGAAGTTGCCACAATGAACTTGTTAATGCACTACTTCTTCTAGCAAATTCCCTAACTTCAATTGTTATACCACTGAATATCAATTAACCACTTTTAACTTGTAAATGCACTAGTTTTTCTAGCAAATTGCCTAACTTCAACTGTTATCCCACAAACCACAAACAATAAGTTCTCCTCTCAAGCCCAAACCTTGTCCTAAACTTAACGTTCCCCCTCACAATTTTGTTTACCCACCCTTCATCAAAAAATATCAAATGCACATAAATATAGCACCCACCTTTATCAAAGGCAAAAAATAGAGCACAATAATAGATCCACACAATCAGTGTTTTTTCCTTAATCTACTGACAAATAAATGGATGATTCAGTCACATAAATAGAATTTCATTCGCTTGTCTCACTTACAAATAAACCCAATCACACAAAAACAACATTCAAGATATAGGAGTCTTACCTTCACCAAACTTCACTCTTCTACTTACCTAAAGTCTCTTCTACTTTTCGTTTGTCCTATCTCTATCGCCTTCCAACTGATATCTACTTCTCCTTCTTCTTCCTATTGTTCTACCGACTATCATGCACCAAAGAGCCGGCCTTCCAAGTTTGCTCCTTATCACTAGCAATGGCTACACTGGAACCATGGCCACAGTGATGACCATAGTCTCCTTTAATGGTTGAATTTCTTTGATAGTTTTTAGAGACACAACCGCAATTATGCCTAGAGGGAAGAGGGAATGTGACTAAAATGAGAGAGGGGGAAGTGGGATCATGTTTTCATATTTTTCAACCATCTCATTTCCAAATTTCAGGCAATAATTTTGCGGGGCATTTGAGTATATTGGATTCAAGAATTAATTTCACTTTGTCCTTTGGGTCCCTCAGTGAAGTTTCAGAATCCTTAACTAAAATTTCAAATTTTTTTGGAGGCTGTTTGAAATTAATCCCCATCTGTGATCTTTAATCAAAATTTTCCCTACTTTCTACTTACATATCTTGCCGGCCTTCAACTTTAAGGTACTTGTTGTTGATCTTAATGGTTGGAATATGACAAATCATGGGCCAGTATTTTCCAATGTCCCTCTGACAATGAAGTTCAAGCAAAAGAGAACCATTGATGTTGAGTTCAGTAAGAGAAGGAGGCATATTTCCTCCTCTTGTTATTGACTACAACTTGGTGCATCTATAGATATCCAATTTCTTAGAGAGTTCAGATGTTCTAGCCCCTTGGTGTTCAAAGTTCTAAGCCTAGGCCAATTATGGATATTTAGTCCAGTAAGAGTACCAAGTAGCACTCCTTCAGGTGGATATGCTATTGTGTCTTGAAAAGAAGTGTGAATATAGAAGAGTGTGAGCCCAGAAGGAGATTTACTATGTAGATTCACTGTATTGGCAACAAGATTATCCGAATCAGAGAACTCTAGTGATTTCAAACTAGAGGGCAAAACACCATCTGGAGACAAATTCATTTCTGGACAATCCCATATTGTAAGTGCTTCCAAACTTGGAAGGAGGCTATGCATTCTTTCGGGCAAGGTCTTCAATTTCGGATAGAATTCAATGCTTAAACAAGTGAGATTGGGGGCTGGGAAACCTCCATCGGGAAAAGAGAGCAAATTTGGGCACCCATAAATAGAGAAGGACTGGAGAGCTATGAGATTTTAAGGTCTTTCTTCAGGGTTTCCATCTCCCTTTTTGATTGAAATAGTAAGTGATTCTAGATTCTCACAGTATGAAATTTTTAGAGATTTGAGCTTGGGAAAGAGATTCAATAGGAAAGACCTGAGTGAGCAACAGCATCTTATTTCCAACAATTCAAGTGACTGGGGGTATTGGTTTAAACCAACAAATACTGGGAATTTTGGGTTGGAGTAGAGTGAAGAAAAAAATTGCCCAGAGTCTTGAATTTGAAGCCGTGTTAAGCAAGGAAGGGCTTTTGGCAAATCACCAATCAGTTTAGGACAATCACATATCACAAGTTGTCTAAGATGAGGAAAAGCTATGCAGCTCTCGTTGTCAACTGGGTGACTCCATTTCTCCCATGCTGGCATATGGTAGAATTTCAAAACTTCTAGTGCAGCAAAAAACTCGATAGCATTCACCCCACGAGAAAATTTCCCATAAAATTCTCTTCCAACACTCTGCAACATCTTGAAATTTGAAATTTCAAGCTGTTTTAGACAGGGAAGTTGCCCAAGTGGAGGTAATACATAACAATACTCACAATTTTCAAGGTTTACAGATGAGAGGATACCAAATGCAACGTCTCCGAACCAGTTTGGAAACTCAGTACCTGTATAGTTATGTACCGAGAGTTCTTTAAGGTTCTCCGCATGGGGTCGTAGATGATCAAGTACGCACTTCTCATGCTGTGAGTCATCTATATCAGCACCATTACCCTAATTTAAATCCAGCTATGTCAGATATTTCTTGTCACATAACCTAGCCTCCATAGCCTCCTTGGGATACGCAACATGTTTCAAATTTTTGATCGAGCAAGAACCACGTATATGTGACAACCCTCCCAAGTCACCAACCAAGCAACCATAATCTTTGCCAACTACAAAGTGGCTTAAATGTTGGAGGCTTCTCAATTTACTCGTGTGGTGGAAACTCTTTTATTTGAGTATTTTCGATATCCAGATACCGCAAATTAACCAGATTATGCATTTCTTGAGGTAGCTCAGCAAGATGGATACACAATGTTGCCTTCAGTGTCTATAGATTATATAAACTGCAAATAGAATTAGGAAACCTTTCGAATCTTGTTCCAGATACTTTTAAATAACGAAGATGCCTTAGTAAGCCAATTGATTCAGGCAACTCCTCCAAGGCACTAAAGAATGAGAATGATAGCACTCTTAGGCATACTAGTTTTGAAAATGCATCATCTTGCAATTTATGATCATGAAAAGTAATGCCTAGAGTGAGTAAGGTGCGCAATCGATTGTTTTTGTCCATAGCTTCTAATTTCACAGGTCCATCAGCAACGGGAAACGATAAATAGCGCATTCTTGCGTCAACATTTATATTTGAGTTACCATCTTCTAGTCTAACACAAAATTTGCCAGACACAAATCCAGCCAAGTCATTTATTAGATCATGCATTACAAAATGTTGTCCAGCAGATTGCGATTGTTGAAAAAATGATCTTGATACTAACTCAAGAAAATACTTATCTCCAATATCTTCAATTCTTTCGCCATTCACAGGATTCTGAAGTAAATTTTCAGCCATCCAAAGCAAAATTAAAAGCAAAATTAACTCCTCCTCCTCAAATTTATAACTCTTTGGAATATTGAGCAGTAGGCAAAGCATCGCTTGCTTTAAATATGAAGGGAGAGAGTGATAACTCAGCAGCAAAGCAGGAAGAATATTGCTTTCCATCTCTGTTAAATCCCATATGTCACTCCTTGATATATTTTTCCATTCTTTAAGGTCAGAAGTTGATCGCAGAAGGCCTCCAAGAGTTTTGGCAGCTAAAGGTAATCCCTTACACTTCTTCACAATTTCTCTTCCAATCCTATCAATACTGGGATTTGTACGTGAGTTTTTATAACCAAACGCATGTTTTGCAAACAAATTCCAGCAATCTTCATCAGACAAGTACTTAAGCTTATATGATTCAACAGTTTGCATGATTGATGCAACACGTTGACTCCGTGTGGTTACTATAATTCTACTGCCTTGAGCTCGATATTGAAAAGGCCTCTTCAAATGACACCATTCATCATAATTCTCGTTCCAAACATCGTCAAGAACAATCAAAAACTTCTTTCCACAAAACATCTCTTTCAATTTTGCCTGAAGCGAATTTAAATCATTGGTATAATGACCACCCAAACTAAAAGCCTCCAAAATTAACTTTGTAACCCCAACAACATCAAATTCTTCAGAAACACAAACCCATGCCTTAAGCTCAAACTCCCTTTTCACTCGCTCGTCATTGTATACCACTTGAGCCATCGTTGATTTCCCAATTCCGCCCATGCCCACAATGGGGAATAACCCTCATTTTCTCATCACTCACGTTGTCAGACAACAACAATTCAACAATGGCCTCCTTAACACCATCCCTACCATAGGCCTTGGATTCTTCCGCCAGAGAAGTTGTGGGCGTTTGCGGTGACCATCTAAAGCCTATTCCATCTTGCAAACGAAGAACATCTTTTTCTTCAATAAGACATTCTAACCTCTCACTTATCTCTTCAATGCCTTTCTCATACGAATTCGGAGAACCCAACGAGAAATTCAGTACCTCGTTCGATCTAAACTTCGCCTCAGTCTCGATATCATCCAACAGATCATCGGCATCATATGCAGCATCTTTGAGCTCTTCAAGCCACTCCTTCACCGCAGAATTTCTGATCTGCTTCCCTTCGGCGTCGTCGAGCACTCCTCTTGCAGACAGCAGCTTCATCTTCAATCTCTTGAGCAACTTGTCATTGAGCTTCCTGCTCCTGAACAAAGCAATGACCTCGGGAGAAGCGAGTCTACTGAACAAGACACCGAATATGGGATCCAGAAGAGCTCCGGCCACAAGCTTCATGGCATTGTTCCTTTACTCCTAGTAAACTAGAGATCAATTTATTCAAAAAAAAAAAAAACTAGAGATCAAGTCAATTCAAGAGTGGAGTTAATCCGATAGACTATCAGTATCAACATAAAATGGAAATTTTGCGCTGACACTTGCAGTTCAAGAGGCAGAAGAAACTTCCTTGTTATAGTGGGGGAGGCCTGCTTGATGATTGTGAAAGCTAACAACCAGTAACGACTGACATTTTGAGAAAAGAAAAAGAACGAGAAAGAGAGGGAAACTTCAACGACTCACGAGTTCACCACCGGATCACATGCTATTGAAGATTGAATTGAAGGGTTCACATTTAATCACGTCAATACTTTTTGTTTGTTGTTGCGGTTTTTTTTTTTTGGCCTGAAGTTTGTTGTTGAGGTTAGTCTTTGTTTTCTTGGAGTAACTATAAAAATTCGAAGAGTGAGAAATTTGTTATCTAAAACTTGTCATGCAAATGTCTCAGTTGTCATCATTAAGGCTTTTTAATTATATTTTTGTCTTAAAATTTCATTGGAATCCTTCATTCTTTTTTTTTTTAATCAATTGTTGAGGTTAATCACGTCAATACTACAATACTATTTGCTCATTTGCTGACGCATAGAGATAGTCCCTGCTCCCTTGAGTTTTGGGAAAATTAATATAGAAATTTTATAGAATTTTACCTAATTTTAATTAACTTTTTATAATTTTTTACTCAGTCTTTATAAGTTTTCTAATTATTATTACTTGTTATGCTTATAATTTGTTAATTGGTGAAAGAAACGACATTAGCAAAAGATACCATGACTCTGATATACTCTATCTAGTTCAAAATATAAGCTAAACTTTATCCATTTACGTTTATTAAGAAATTAGTTAAAATCAGTTTAAAATAATAAATATACAACGCATGTATTTTTTTTAAAAAATATGCCCTTATTAATAAAAAGAATAAATAAAATATGCAATAAATGAATGAAAGAGGAAAGAAAATATGTGGGGGTAAAATTGGAAAAAAAACTCATAAATGCTTAAATAAAAATGAATGTTATCTTATGAAAGAAAAACCAAACCATTCTAACAAAGTTTAGCTTATATTTTGAACCGGGGGAATATTAGAGTAGTTTTACCACATGCCATGAAATAATTATTAGAATAATATTTTTACATTGGTAATAAATAAATAAACTTTATTTCATCATTGTATCTTTTTTTTTTTACCAGAATTTCATCATTGTATCTTATTTTTAGGAAAACTTTTTTATTTTATATTCTAAACCAACTTAGGTGTCATTTGATTAATGTTCACATCAACCTTAAATAAGCATGGAGGTTAATGCCTATAATTAGGGGGGGCGAGTGTGAGGATCTAATTAAAAAATATTACAAGGATTTGATTAAAAATCATGTGATGCAAAATGTTGAAAACATCTTGAATATATTTGTTGTGGGGACTAATTTTTCTAATTATTCATTTGGATATGAAGAAAAGTCTGGAAGAAAAAACATGGAAGGAAAAAATAAACAAATTAAAAAACCTGCGAGAATGATAGGAAAAAAAAGAAAAAGAAAAAGAGCAAATGTTAATACGATAGTAATATCCTTATATCAATATATATTATATCTCATATAATTGTGTTTATCAAAATTATATTAAAATTATCAACAAAATTTTTTAAAATCAAAGTATTTTAAAAAAAAATATATGAAGTTAAATCTTTGCTCAAATTTAAAATATCAAGTTAAATTTAAAATATTAAAATTCTCTTTCATTCTTATCTTTGCTCAAATTTAAAATATCAAGTTAAATTTAAAATATTAAAATTCTCTTTCATTCTTGTTCAAGTTTATAGTCTGATTCTATTGGGATTTTTTCATCACACCAAATGCTATAATTAGGAGTGAAAATAGGCCAGGCGGCCTATTAGAGGCCTGTGGCCTGACCTAGTTTATTTAAATATAAAAGCAAGTTCATGCTTGTAAAAAGATCTATTTACCTTATCAAACCAGGTTTAGACTTGATAATAACCCTATTAGGCTTGTCAGGCAACCCAGACCTGTTATTATTATTATTTTTTGGGTTAAAATTATAAATTTATAAGTTCTGAAATTTAACCTAGATCATTCAAGTTGTTCCCATTTAGCTATTCCTATTCTTGATTATCTCATTTTTGGTTTATATTTTGGATAATTTGGATTGAGTTATTGTAATTTTGAATTGATTTATATATGCTTAAAATTTGTTAAAAATACAGACTTCTTAATAAGCCACAGGCTAGGCCAAGCCTACGCAAAAAAAAAAAAAAAAAAAAGCCTTTCACAGGCCCCAAGCCAACAGGCCTTGCCACAAGTCTAACTTGTTTCCACCCCTAGCTATAATATACTATTTCCAAACATTTATAATTGATACTCCTCTGGTCCTATTTATAAAGCAGAGAAAAAAGGTTTTTTTTTTATCCTATTTATAAGTCACTTCATTAAATTTTCAGTGTGAATATACTATTTTGTCTTTCATTTATTATAATATAAGTAATTATCCCTTTCAAAAGTTGTATGTATTAAATATAGGTAAAGTTGGAAAATCATTATATTTTAATAAAGAGTTAATATATTTTAAAATTTTTCTTGATTTGTGTAAAATATATTAGAAGTGCCTTATAAATAGGACAAGAAGAGTATCATGCAAATTATTGGTTCAATTTTTTGAAACAAAAAGGGAAAAGGGCTTCTTTGTCCTTGCATTACCAAAAGGAAATCATAGGGGTTGAAAAGTAAATTTGCACGAAAATTTAAAACATAAATGCTCAGGGAAATGCACCTTAAATCTAACTAGTATAATATTTTAGCTCAATTCAGGACTCATACACATACAACGTAACAAAACTGTGAACTAATGTGCGCTCAAAGGGCATCTAGAAACATAAATATTTCATCAGGAAACATAGTTGCCCAAAACTGATTGCAAGCAAACAACAAAACTTGCCAGTAACATGTTTCTGCTGGGGTGGTCCTTCAGCCTTTCTACTGCAGACTAAAGAGTTGTGCAGGCCAACTGCGTCTCCGACCATCAGGGCCGACCCCAACAGCTTCTAAGGAAATGTCAATGCTGCGGTGCTCTGTAGATCGGACAATACTAATGCGCAAATCAATCTTTGCAGCTGGGTAAACTTCAGTACCAATTGCTGCAACTTTACCTCCAGTAGCTTTCTCAGATCTCATAGCAATGGGTTCCCGGAAGGTTAAGATTGTTTGCGACCAATGTGTTTTTGGCGTGTACGGAGATGTTGACAACACAGCCGGTGCTTCTCGGCAGAACCTGCTTGTAAATCCAGTTTCAAACCACAGGACAACTCCATAACAGCTGCAGCATCCTGTTTTTGAATCTAAATGTTTTGTGTTGCTGGCATTTGACATTGGCTCCAAAGTAGCAGTTGCAGTGAAATCCACTTCATTAGGCTTCATAGTTGCCAAGTCAAAAGTCTAAAGGGGCAAAAGAACATTAACAGTCAGCAAAACTACAAACTGGGTTGTGAATTTACTGAAGATAAATTATCCCACAAGTAAATCTACCAACTCTGCCCAAATCAGAAAGTTTATTCTGCCACTAGCCAAGGGGAATTTAATTTACTGATGACGTACTCAAAGCTGAAAACCAATGGCCATTAAAAAAAAAAAAAAGGCACGCACACTAACACACAAAGTAAATTTCTGTTTTTGTCCCAGAAAGAGAACCAGCTTCACAATTTAGCCGCCCAATGACAGCAATTTATTTGGACTTGGCGTGGTTAAGGAAACAGGAGAAGTGCAGAGAAAACATTTTTGCAATAAATTACTTATTGATGACGCATGAGCCATCAAGTGTCTTAAATTTAATAAGATGATTCACCATAAGCAAGCACAGAAAAGTTTGAGTTTGATCTAATTGCATGTGCATTTCAAAACATTTTAACTGATCATTAGAAATTGAGACAACCAATCAAAATATTCAGCATTGATAAGAAACTCAAGTACCACCACGCGCAACACATTCACATTCAGAAAGTGAACCAACCTGAAGAATCACAGAACTGGTGACCAAATCTTCACAGTCCAAAACATCAACTATTGGAAATTGCGCAGCATCGTTCACCAACTCCTTGCCAATGGAAGACATGTCAAAACCATGCACGTTTTCCCAAAAAGGAAGACTTGTACCCCCTTTTCCAAAACCCGCAACAAACTAGAAGAGGAATGGAATGGAAAACATAAAATTAGAGTCAGACAAAACCACAACAATAGAGAAAAACAAAAGCCTTTGACAGGGGACTCACAACGGTCGCTGTATCAGGAAGAATGGCCCCTCCAGGCTTCAACCATCGGTCCCTTGCATAGAGGACTGAGCTAAGCATAGACTCATACAGCAGGCAATATCCCATCCATTCACTTAACAATACATCAACGCTGTGAGGTTGAAGTTCAGCGTTTTTATCAACCTCTTCAACCATACCCTGGACCACTTCCATTACTCCCTTCTGGTGGCCATCGGCTTGACTTTGGTTTTTACAATGCAAAAGACCATTATCATTTGCAACCTGAATAATAAGATTGCAAGCCAAAAGAAGGGGGAAATAATTGAGTTGCAACACCAAAGATTGAGCTAAAAGATATAATTCTATAAACTATCGAATAAGAAAACCTTAGTCGCCACTGCTGCCATCTTGGCACTAGCCTCAATTGCAATCACCCTTGACGCGCCTGCTTGAGCTGCAAATAGGCTAGAGAAAATTTTGAAAAAAAAAAAAAAAGAAGATATGTCAAACTTTTGAATTGAATGAATCACCAAACACGGTAGATGATCAGAAAAACAAAATATAGTTCATAAATCAACATCATATGTGTAGGAATACTTTTCCTCCAAATTCATATTTATCATGTTCTCAGCTGGGAAAATTAATTTATGGCTGACGTGATTATAAACAAGGGCTTCTATCTTATATTGTACTCATATCTACATGGGTAATCCTCTAATTGAATATACCTCTAGTCCTAAATATAACATCCACTCTGTAATGCACTTTGCACTACAAAGTGGATCTTATATTTAGGACCTGAGTAATATATTTCTTGAAAGAATTATAACAAAGTATAGTCCTTTGATCATGAATTATACTTGGATTGTGACACTAATAACTTCTAAGAAAATATTGATAAAATATTAAAGAGAACTGAATCAAAACTTCAATATTTTATAATCTAAGATATTACTATAAAAAGCTAGCATTAGCAGTATTACGTATTCAATAAAAATCATGCATCTCACCTGAGGATTCCAGTTCCGCAACCTACATCCATGACTACAGCACCCTTTAGGAGAGAGGGGTTCTTCAAAATAGCTTTCCCATATGCATCCATTCTTACCTACATGAACATTGCTATGACTTCTACTTTAATGTATGTATACATAATATATATAAAGAGAGAGGAGGGAGGGAGAGCATGGTAGATAGCATTCAATATTCCAATTGAAGCTTCAATTTTTTCTGAAATTAAGAAAAACAAATTGAACAAGAAGCCACAGAAAAAAAAAAAAACTACAGCTAACCTTATCACTGAGCATCTCACGATGAATGCCAAATGAACTATAAGCTCCAAAATAATTTTCATTAACCTTCATGATGTGCTTTGCAAGACGACTTGAAGAGTTAGAGATCAAATGTCCTTCTTGACTTTTGTCATTTGATGAAACAAAACCTCTTGAGTCCTTATCATTAATAAGATCCTTGTCTGATGAACTAGGACTGTTAATATCATTAACAGAAATAGTAGTTCCCTTAACTCTAGACATATCATAGTCATCAGCATTAAGTACCATCTTTTCCACAGTATTCTGATCACCACCACAAATCTCTTCAGAGTTCTTCAAATCCCCCACTAGTTCCTCCTCATTAATTGGTGGAAACTGCTCATCTTCAATTTCTTCAGATTCATCAAAACTGTACAGCAACGAATCATCTTGTATGAAAGGCTTTAGATATCTCTCATCATCCCATAGACACTTAATATCCTTCAAGTTTACTGTGTCATGCAAATGATTCTGCAAATCTTTGTTGGACTGGAACGTCAATCCACAACACCAACATTTGTTATCCGCGACCTGATGGAAGACAGTAGAAGAACCCATAGTTGGTAAGAATATTTAAAAGTAAACATCCACTAGCAAAAATTTGCACAGTTCTTTTGTTTTCTCATTTGGCCAATAGTTGAGTTCAAGCATTCCGAGAATTAACGCAATGTTAAAAGTGGGTTACCATTGAAAGATTGCTGTCTACAAAGGGGCTATCAACGAAGTCAGAATAGCAACACGTAGTTGCTTAAGCTTTTCATTGTTTATAGCTTCCACTTTCTTATTCTCATTAACAAACCCACAATACGAAGTAAAGAGAGGAGGAAATTGGTATTATCAGGCACTAACTTAAATCTTCTAAACAAAAGGACTAATCGCAATGTAAGACATTTTGGGGGAAACCAATAGCCTAAGACTCGTGCTAAAATGTAATATATATGAATTTCAAACAGAAGGGCCATTTCCTTTTCTGGTGCTTCTCCCGCTCCAAGTTCAGTAGGATAGTTATACAACCGGAAACAACAACTCAATTCCCGCAAATTTATCAAATGCTTGTGCATGTTATTCGACAACAACCACCCCTTCCCCAAATTCTAACCTGTGAGCGTATGTAATTAATGAGCTTGAAAGAGCCATAAAAATCCAAGCTAAGAGCTTTCCTAATGCAAGGAAAATCAAAGTAGTGGACTTTGGCGCAGTGCTCAAACAAGGAATCGCACGAACTATACTTGGAATCGCAGAAGAGACAGAGAAAATCCGATTCTGAGCCTCCCTCTCCTCCCTCATCCTCATCCCCGTTCCAGTCATCCCAACCTTCTGACTCCCCCTCGCCGTCTTCTTCTTCTTCATCAATTTGTTCCTCAACTCTGTAAGCTTCGGGTTCTTGATTAATCCTGGAGGCCATAAGAAGTTCACTTATGATCGATTAGCGGCTAGTTACTGCGCATACGCTTAAACCCTAAACCCAAAGAATCAGGGACAGTTGATGAACATGCTGTGCATTTATTTCTGGACAAAACTGCGTCTCCTTTTTTCACTTTTACCCCTTAATTTTATAAAATTTTATTTGAGTCCTTTCATATTGACATTTTGCAATGTGAAAAAAAATTGGTTGAAATGGAATGAAAATTTTTTTTAGCGATGGCATGTTTGGTGAGCATGAAAAAAAATAGTTTGACGAAAAAGTTTATATTTGGCTGAATAAAAATAGGTTGAAAATTTGTGTAATTTTACCATGTTACCCTTAATAAAAAATATAATATTATTAAATAAAAATGTTCTTTGACCTTATAGAATAATAATATTATTAAAAAATCAATAATTCAAAATAAAAATAAAAATATATTATATTTTAAATAAATATAAATATTCAACATAAATAGAAAAAATAATTATAGGTATTAAATGATTAAAAAATAATTAAATATAAAATATAAATAATTGCATAAGGAATAAAAATGAATTCATAAGCAAAAAAAAAAAAAAAGAAGAAAGAAAGAAAGAATATATAACCAAACAATTTATTAATATAAATGGACATAAAAAAAATCAAGTAAAAGGTGAATTTTTAGATGACATATAATTTAAATGGTTAAAATGATTTATTATTAGAAAACTTTTAAAGTTTAATTTTTAATGCAACAAGACCTATTTTAAAACTCTTTATGTTTAGAAAGATATTTGTTGTGATTAAATAAATAATTAAAAGAGAGAGAGAGACAAGGATGGCAAGTGCAAGCAAGAGAAAGAGCTCGGCGCCAACATCGGAGGAGAGAGACGCACTGATTCATAGTCGAAAAAGGGTTAGGGCAAGGGACAAGGAATTCACAAATCAATAGAGGTTGATTCTGAGGGTCAAAGATTAGATGCAAGAGGAATCCCTTGCTGGTGTAGAGGGAAGCAAGAAGGAAGTAGATGCTAGTGTTGTTGATGGGAAGGCATAAGCATAAGGGGCTGGGACTGGTTTCTAGTGGAAGTCTTTCAAGCAAGCTGTAACAAGAGAGAGGGAGGTCATGGAGCCGGAGGAAGACTGGCGGAGTGGGGAGAAGTGGAAGAATAGAATTCAAGTCATTATGACGAAGCAAGAGCCGAATGTTATTCTGAATCAAGGAAGGGAACGTTTAGGTAAGCGTTGGCAAAAGGCATTGATTGTTAAGTTGTTAGGTCGCATGGTTAATCCTAAGTATTTAGATAAGAAGCTTCAACAATTGTGGGCAAGGCAAGGGGAAGTGAACACAATTGATGTAGGAACAAGGTACTTTGTGGTGCAGTTCTCGGATGATGACCACGATTATGATTTGGCTCTCACTAGCAGCCCTTGGCATATCTATGACCATTACCTTTTAGTACAGCCGTGGAAGCTAGAGTTCGAACTAAAGGAGACTATTTCCAACATAGCCTCTTGGATCTATATAGCGAAGTTGCCTCTTGATTATTACGACAATAAGATATTGTATGTCTTGGGGTCACAGGTCGAGAGGGTGCTGAAGATGGATGATAATATGATACGACATAAGAAGGGCAGGTTTACGCGCATCTGTGTTGAACTAGATTTAAATGTTCCTCTGAGACCCCTGGTTTTAATTAACAGAAAAGCAAAAAGAATTTAGTATGAGGGTATTCATCTTACATGTTTTCATTGTGGATGATACGGACATGATACGGATCATTGCCCGAGTAAGAAGAGAGCTCAGGATGTTCCAGTCAAAGATGGTGAATGGGATGAGATGAGTAAAGGTACATATGCTGGTATGAAGGTAGGTGTGAACCAGCCACTAACGAAGGTAGAGGAGGTAGTGGCCTTGGAGTTACGCTATGAGTCATGGATGGTGGTGTAAAGAATACAATGAGTGAAATGGCCAGAAGGCTCAAATGGGAAAGGAAGTGATGCTCGGCTAAAACCTCAAGATGTTATGGAGGAGCAGGGATCATGATTTCAATCGGTGATTGTTGAGGAGGGCGAGATTGTGGGAGAATCAATGGTACTGGAAATCGCAGCTGAAATCCTAAACAAGAAGTATTTGGAACTGGCAAGTAGTAAAGGTGCTTCTGACAGGCCTACTTTGTGATCAAAAGTTGGGCTCAAAAGTAGATCTAAGGTTAATGGAACTAAGACTTTTGGGCTGCAAGTAGTAAGGGTGCAAAATTGGGCTAACAGTGGAGAGGGCACTCTGAAAACTAAAAACGCTACAGGGAACCAAAGTGAGATACCACAACTTTTGAATGCCAAAGTCAAGTTGGGCTTGGGCCTCAATGAAGGAAAGAAAGTGGATTAACATGGTATGGTGAAGTCTGTGAATGGAAAGCATGAGACTAGTAGTCTTAACCGAAACAGTTCAGCAACAAAGGTACAAGCCTGTCACGTTCAGCAAGGTAACTCTAAGGCTGTTTTGATGGAGGTGGTAGAGGATGAACCACTGGATCCTAGTGCAAATTGTAAAATGGATTTCATTGTCCATTCAAATCTGCTATCTACGGAGCTTGGTGTTGGTGCAAAGGACGATGCTTCTACCTCCTCCAAGAAGTCACAATGCTAATAGGTTGTTGGTGTTCCCTTATATCATTTCTTTATTTTATGGATATTAATTTATGCATATGGAACTCAAGAGGTGTTAGGGGAAAGAGCTTTGGAAGGTTGGTGGTCGAAATGAAGAAAAGGTATAGTTTCTGTTTTTTGGCCTTGTTAGAGACACGATAAAGTAGCAGTAAGGCTTAGGCACTCGCTATACATGTTGGGTTCAAACATGTTGCAGTAGCAAAAGTCGATGGCTTCAGTAGTGGGATTTGGTGTCTTTGAGAAGATGGTGTCGATTTTACAGTGACTCGAGGATATTCTCAAGTTTTGCATGGCACTTTTAATGCAGGAACAGAGAATGCATGGGATTTGTCGGTGGTGTATGGCCACCCGAACTTAGTTCAGAGACGTGAACTCTGGCATCAACTTTGTACTATCAAGGAGAATGGTGTGAGAAGGTGGTATGTGGGAGGTGATTTCAACATTATTCTTGACAGCAACAGGCAACGTTCAATAGCTCGGGACTAAGTATGTCCAAACCGTGACTTTATTAAATGGTTTCATGAGAGTGAAGTGTCCGATTTAGAGTTCCATGGACTACAATTTACATGGAAGAGAGGACAATCACAGAGTCAATTAGACCGTGTTGTAGCAAATTCGAAATGGTTTGAATGTTTTCACTCAGCTTCGGTCTTACACGTACCGATGTTCAAGTCAAATCATTGTCCTCTGTTGTTAAAGCTCCAAGGTAATATTTCAAAACCTAAGTCTAAGGGGCCTTTTCATTTCTTTGCACACTAGGTTACAATGAAGACTTTGCACCTCTGGTTAAAAGGATTTGGAGCGATAGTAGTAGTTGGAGTGATAAGGTTGAGATTTTTACAAAGGAACTATAGATATGGAATAAGAGAGTTTTTGGGAATATTGGGAGAAAGGTTGCTTTGCTTGCGCAGCTCGAACAAGTTATTAATCTTTGTCATGATAGTCCGTAATGGGTGTAGAAGAGAAATATCTTTTACAAGAGGAGATGATATGAGTTCAACGTTTGAGATACAAGGGGTATAATCATGGTGACAAAAATACTAGGTACTTCCATACTGTTACCAAGTGCAGGAAAAAAAGAAACTTTAATGAAGCTCTACAAGATCTGGATGGGCAATGGTGCTATGATGAGGAACAACTTAAATGTAATGGTACAAGCTTCTTTCAACAACTACATATGGTTGATATAGCCTGGACCCCCATGGTGAACTTTGGCAGATCATATCCCGATGTGCCTGTTGCGAAGATAGAGCCTTTAAGTTGGGCTCCTTCTCCCCAGGAAATTAAGGGCACGGTGTTTAGTATAGGAGCTTCGAAAGCCCCAGGCTCGGATGGTTTAAATCCTTCGTCTTACCAAAGTCAATGGGATACTGTTAGTGCGTCAGTGATCTCCTCAGTACAAGATTTGTTTGCCTCCCTGATAGAATCAAGCAATTGAATAGTACTAACATTGTCCTAATCCCTAAAGTTGATGTGCCGCAAACGTTTTATGACTTTAGGCCGATCATTTTGTGTAATGTGATTTACAAGGTGGTGACTAAAGTCCTAGCTAATAATTTGAAAGTGGTGATGACTTTGATTATTACTCCTAATCAAGCTAGTTTTGGACCAAGATGACAAAGTTCGGACAATATTATTTTGGCTAAAGAGGTTGTCTACTCTATGCGGGCTTCGAAAAGAAAGAAGGGTTTTATGGCATTGAAAATAGATTTGGAAAATGCATATGACAGGGTGCACTAGGAATTTGTTTTCCAATGCTTATTAGAACTAAGGCTCCCACATGAATTCATTAACATTGTTCACTACTGCTTATCGTCTGTGGAAATGCAAGTCTTATGGAATGGTTCTAAGGGAGCTACCTTCAATCCAACTAGGGGTATTAGACAAGGAGATCCTCTCTCCCCGTATCTCTTCGTTAGTATTACGGAGAAGTTGGGTCACCTTATTCAGAGTAAGGTCAATTATGGTAATTGGCTTCCCTTTCGTTTAAAAAGTAGTGGTACTTCTATATCCCACTTCTTCTTTGCTAATGACCTTGTCCTGTTTGTTGAGGCTAGTTTGGACCGAGCTGGTTTGATCAAAGCTTGTCTTGATGACTTTTGCGCAGAATCTAGTGAAAAAGTTAATAATTCAAAGTCACAGATTTTCTTCTCCCCGGATGTTAATCATAACCATAGAGAGGAGATTAGTAGCTTTCTGGGATTCACATCGACAGCTGACTTAGGGAGATACCTGGGAGTCCCTTTTTACCATAAGTGGGTCTCGAAATCTACATATGAGTATATCCTGGGCAAGATGGACAAGTGTCTCACTAACTGGAAAGCCAATACTCTTTCAATAGCAGCTAGGCATACACTTGTCTCTTCTATTGTGGTTGCTATTCCTAACTATACTATGCAGTCGTCT